GTTGGCAACTTCATAAACTGCTCCATAAATGAATTCACTATGTTCCGTGGAGGATTATATCTTTTATTTAGTCCCTCCCACAAACTGCTCGTTGTTGTTGTTGTAGCGAACTGATAATTGCGTTATTGATTTGCAGCCCGCTGCTGCCGTTTTCGCTGTTCACAGTTGATGGGCTATGTCTTGCACCTCCCATCGCCGAAAGTAATGAATGCGTGTATTTCTCTCGTAGAAAGCGTTGTCATGCTCCGGATCCACATAGACATCTACTTCGTCTAGAATAGCTATTTCATGAATTGAATGAATTCCTTCCATGTTGTGTTAAGATGCTCCAGCCGCCAAGGCACTTCCGCTGATGTGGCGTCTGATTGGTGCGCGTCCTTAGCCCAAGCCAAGGTCCGTGTGATATTGGCCTTGAGTCTGGCGCGTCCCTTCACCAATGCTTTTAATTGCTCCATTGAAGAACAATTACCGTAAGAACCAATGCACAGCAAACAACAAAAACATCCGGCTCGAAGGGCCAAACAATGATCCTAAATGCGTAGAGCCTTTTGGCAGTGAACTGTATATTTTTTTGTTCTTAACTGTTTCGCTGTCTTATTGGTACTGAAGAAAATTTGAAATTTTGCCATATGTGGTACTTATTCTTAGTGTGTATATATTGGAAGGATCGTAGGTCTAATGGATAAAGAAAATATTAAGATGGCAAAATGCGCCAAAACTCAATAACTAAGCGATAGTCCCCAAACAGGTACCTTACACACAACACAACACATTCAATGATCTCGGCATCTGTGTAAGTGTCCACCTCTGAGGTTTCAACTGTACATTTTTTTAACTGCTCACTAATCTCCTGTAATTGTGTTTCAAATGATTGTTTTTGAACTGCGAGCGCACTAGCAACAGCACTTTCTACGATCGCTACGATCGACAGAGCTTTACTTAACATCATTTCGCTACCTCTATTTGTTTCTTGACCACCAATTATTTCCTGACGAGTTTTTTCCTTTGCTTTGTCTAACTGCCTTTCCTGATGCACTGACCACTTATTCAAACTTACCAAGAGGTCGTCCATAATGATTTTACTGTCGCTTATGTGTTTTTGTCGTCAATTCTCTTTGCATAATTAATAAAATAATAAGGAATGTGAGATATTGGAATCATTCAATATTCGTAATACTTAAAATGAATTAAGAAAATTAATATTAAATGAATGAATTGCTTATATTGAATTGAACAATATTTTCTTATTTAAATAGGTTCTGAAGTGTTAATGCTATTTTATACTTTTTTAGTATTTTTTATTTTATGGAAACTATGTGGTTGAAGTAAGGGAGAAGCCGCTGTGGCCGTTGTTGTCTCTGGCTGCTACCTTTATTTAATAACATTAAGTCAGTTTTAGAAAGAGATTTGCAAAGTTTTCGCAATTCACTGTATATTTTGTATGTCTTTTTATTATACTGGCTTTTCGAAGAGTTTTGTTGGTTTAATTTATTTAAATAATATATAAGATGCGTCAATTAAGATGTTTTCGTAAATGTTGCCGCACAGCTGCCAGCACTCTGGCAGTGTGAGCACTCACAAATTTTTTAGAAGCTTTTTCATTTGCTGCCATTTTGCGTTATTGGCATCGCAAACTTAAACCTAAAAAAAAACCTTAAAAAAAAAGTTTATACTGAGAAAAATTTGTTAAAAAATTGGGTTGGAAACATTTTTTTCTATAGGAAAATATAAACAGGAAAGCGTAGTTTTTTATTTTTTAAGAACTTTTTCGAGAAAAATGAGAAAAGCTTTCTTTTAAATAAAATAGACTATTTTAGAGTCCATTTCAACCTTCAATTTAACGAAAAATGAAATAAAACTACTTTTTTTCGCTCAGCGAATACTCTTGTTCTAATGTTCTTTATGAATAATGAATAATGAATAATGAATAATGTTCTTTGCTGCTACTCATACACTCATATTTTTAACATGTGTGAATTTTGCCCCCCACGGCTTTAAGGCAGTGGTCGGCACCCCAATACATTGATATGATTTTAAGGGGTTATATACCTTCTTTGTCGAAGAAAAAAGCAAAGTTCGGATTTTTTTTAGGTATGTAGCAATGATATAATAACAGGGGTGTTTTAATTTTTTGATAGTACACTTTATTAACAATGTTTGTGCAAAATTTGGTGGAAAAATATTAAATAGTTTTTAAGGGGTGGCTGTTTCCTTAAGAGGCTTTTTTTATTGCCTTGCGGTGACAGTTCCCCAGGTCAAACAGGTCAACTTAAACCATAAAAGTAAAAAAATTTCATTAGTTTAGTGTATTTCCTTGTGCTTGAACGATCGATTTAAAAATATTTCACTAAATTTCAGATAAATTTCACTAAAAAATTCATTTCGGCGAAAAAAAAGTTTGTGCGTGAAAAGTCGATCTTTCAAGCACAGAAGAATTTCATTACGAACATTTAAAAAAAAATTTGAAGTAAATCGGTTCAGTAGTTTTCCGCCAATCCATGTCACCGCAAAGTCATTTTTCAAGAAACACCATTTCGAGATATTCGCGTTTAAAGTTTCAAGTTCAGTTCAAAGCCGCAATGAGGCGCGCGGTTAGGAGCGCTGTAACTTTTTTCTACTGCTCCAATCTCTATGAAAATTTTGGAAAATGTTCTTAAGGAGTTTTTCTTCAAGATAAAGCAATAAAAAAATTTTCGATTTTGTGAAAATAAAAAAGGTATATAACCCCTTAAGGTATTAGTGTTAGCAAAGATTATACAGTACATAGATGGGACATCTCATACAAAGAAAAATTTTCTATGGCGGGTTCCAGCAGTGGAACCCGCTGGAACGAGCGGGTTCCATTGCGCGACAAGTTAAGTTTGAGAAATTTTTCGCGCGACAAAGAATGAGGAATAGCCGAGTGGTAGAGTGCTTGGCTGGTGTGCAAAGTAAAACGAGTTCAAACCAGGCTCGGGAAGTCCCTTTTTTTTTTTATTTTAAATCTATTTATATTATTGTTTTATTATTTTAATGTGTTTTCCTAAATTTTTAATCCAATAAAAAAAAATACAAAATTGTAAAATCACCTTAACATCGTCTCAGTTCATAATGGAACCCGCTGTAAAAATGTCTATAAGTGCGGGTTCTACGACATTTTGGTAGGCCGCGTCATGGAACCCGCTCTCAAATGTTTTCATTTTTTCCGTCGTGGAACCCGCTGTAATAATGAAAACATTTGAGAGCGGGTTCCATGACAAACGGCTGGCAGATGAGATAGGGAGAGAGAGAATTCTATTTTTAGATCGTAACATCTTTGGAACGATGAAAGTTTGAAACGTTGTAACCGAACCACTGTGAGAGTAAAGAGATCAGAAATATCTTTTACTATCCTTACTCGTCAACTGTGTTTTTGGTATAGATTCTAGCGCCTCCTTTAACACCAATTTTAAGTATCATAAAACCAACTTCGAGGGTAGCCTAGATGGATAGTGCGTGGTCCTTACTCATGGGGTCCTGGGTTCGATTCCATTAGCGGGAGTTAGTTTCAACATTGATGAAGTTTTAGTTTTATGATTATTTTTATATTTACTTTTATTTTTTTATTATTATTTTTTTTAATTGCATTATTTTACAGTTGTTGTAAAAATAAGTGACGGACGTGTCGGATGCCAAAATACCGGAAGGACTTTCTTGAAATTTTATTAGCATTTTTATTAGCGGGACATAATGAAGAATAAAACAATTTTACAATTGTAAAAGAAAAAATATTACTATTATTATTAAAGAAAAATATTACAATTAATGAAAAAAAAAATTATAATATTTATACAAGAAAGAAAAAGTTCAAAGTCCTTACGAGGATTTGAACACAGAAAAATTACACATAGAGTAACTACTTTATGCATTACGCTACCATCCTGTATCGATCTGCGGCGATCAAAATACTATTTGTTCTACCAACTACCACATCGGCGCATCGAAAACAGAAACGAGAAATTGAAATTGAAATTTGGAAGCCAAAACCTTTTTACGCCTTCGTGCGAGCAGTCACACATACATACAAAGGCTCACATTGTAGTTGACGGATACATGTAAAGAGTTCTAAAAATAGAATCGTATGCATGTGCGTTCCCCCCTCACCAACAAGCTCGACGCAAAAAAATGACCGTTTTGGGCCCTGATGTCCCATCTATGTACTTTATAATCTTTGGTGTTAGTAACGAATAGCAGAAAGAAGGCTGTGAGCATGACGTTTCACACATTTATACTGTGTGTGTGAAGCAGAGCTCGAGCAGAGAAATTTCCTAAGCCCTCGGGATAGGGCCGAGCCGACCACTGCTTTAAGGTGACAAACATGCCTGTTTTGAGTGATTTCAAAAACACCGATATGGTTTGGAAAAATTCGTAATTAATAGTAATTATTAATAGTATAGTAATTAATTAATAGTAACAGTAATTAATCAGTTTTTGACTTATTTGCGTTAATAAATAAAGCATTTTGTTGACATAATTGGTAAAATAAATATTTTTGTAAATACTAATGAAATCTCTTGCCTTTTATACAGTAGGCCTTTAGAGTTTTCAGAGTGATTTCAAGGTGTTTGTGTTTTAGCAGGACGACCATCAAAACTTACTTTGGAAATAAAATAAAGTGGAATAATCATATGTTTTCAATAATTTCATTAATAAGCTTATCATGTATACAAAAACTGCGACTCATACTGCGGCTTGCAGAATCCGCATTAACAGAAAAGTATACACGACAGAAATATATAAGGCATATATGTAAGGTGAATGTAAAGGTGAAAGGTGATTTTTGATGAAGAATATATACACATATGTATATATAATAGAGTGAAATATGTCTCCTTCACTGCGTTGAAAACTTTTGACCACAGGGTTTTGTGTAACATATACCCTTAAATGATTAAAAAAAAATATTAAATAATTAACTTATAACTTATTACTTAAATTATTAAAACCATCTTAAATTATTAAAAAAACATTTTTTTTTTCAGATTTGACGAACACTTATCACAAACTATTTTTTCATGAGTTGCTTACGTTAAGTGAAGCTGAAGATGCCACTTTAGCCAAGTTGGACTGCTATAAAAACGTTACGAATCTTATACCTCTTAGAACCAGCGCGTTGCGTGCTCTAGCAGCATGTCACTATATAAGTGACATAGGATACAAAGAAAAAATTATAAACATAATTTTTAAAGTGATGGAAAATGATAAACCAGAACTTCAGAAAACAGCGTACCTTTGTATGAAACAGTTCATTTCTGGTGTTACACTTGAAAAAGAGAAGGTAAGATATTTCTTAAAAAAATCCAGTTATAATAATAATTTTGAATTATACCTGAACAAAACCTTATTTATAAATAAAAAAAAATTAAAAAAAAAAAAAAATGTTGATGCGCAAACGTTTTATAAATCCGCCAAAATATGACCAAATCGCGGTTGTTATGAGAAAATGCAAAACAAAATCGTCACTTTGATATTCGTCAGCGTGGAAGATTTTGAAATACATATTTGTTTTATCTAAGCCACGCCTGTGTAAACTTAGCCTGCGCCGCTGACTACTGAAGAAGTATTTTTCACACTGACAGCACACAAAACTCTCTCAAAGTGTAAAATTTAAACTCGCGACAAAAAAAATCGGGTTAGTCGCAGTCTGTGCGCCAAAGTTATGTTACTTTTCACCGTGGTTACACTGCAGCAAAAATTAAATTATGAATATTTTTCATGACAAAATTAACCAAGAAAGGAAAGCTAACTTCGGGCAGAGCTGAAGTTGATATACCCTTGCAGCTAAAACCGGGTATATACCGCTAAAATCGGACATAGTTAGCCGATCCTTATGAGAGTATCCTAATATAACCCAATTTATATAGCGGGGTTTTGTTATAGCGGTAAGATCAAGTAAGCCAAAATAATATCTGTATGAAGTTTCATCTTTCTGTCTTCAAAAACACGAAAGTTGGGTCATTTCCAGTTATATGGCAGCTACAAGTTATAGTCGACCGATCCATATAAAATTTGGTGGTCGTATTATTTTGTCAAAAATAGCATTCGTACAAGATCCGAAATCTCTAACTCTAAAAACACCAAAGTTATACCATTTCCGATCGTTCAGTTATATGGCAGCTATAAGATATAGTCGGCCGATCGTTATGAAATTTGGTAGGTCGGATCAACTGACCAAAAATATAATCTGTACCAAGTTCCAGGTTTCTATCTTTAAAATCACGAAAGTTGGGTCATTTCCGATCGTTCAGTTATATGGCAGCTATAGGATATAGTCGGCCGATCCGGGCCGTTCCGACTTATATACTGCGTGCAAAGGAAAGAAGGGTGTGTGCAAAGTTTCAAGACGATAGCTTTAAAACTGAGAGACTAGTTTGCGTAGAAACAGACAGACGGACAGACGGACATGCTCATATCAACTAAGAAGGTGATCCTGATCTATATAGAAGAATATATGTACTTTATAGGGTCGAAGATGTCTCCTTCACTGCGTTGCACACTTTTGACCAAAATTATAATACCCCCTTCAAGGGTATATAAAGAAGAGGTCTCAGCTTGGCTTGAAGCCAGTCTCCTTCACACATCAGTCAAAAACTGTACCGCTCCCGCTGTTATATTATATATTTCCAAAAATTTTGCGAGATTTTTTTTGTCATTTCCCGCTGATTTCTGTCTTAGGTCCGTTTACGAGAATTGTACGAAAGTTTCGTTTAACATTTGGCCCTCTGGGTAGGTCAGTTAGAAATTGGCAAGGAGTTTGAAGTTTTATATGATACTAGGGTATCTTAAGATTCAAATCTAATAAATAATAAGACACCCAGATCGTTAACCTTTGTAAATCAATTTAGGGCGCACCCATAAAGAAATAGCGACGTAGCGACGACTAGATCGATCGCCGTTTCTGAAATTTGCTAAGTGCCAATATTGAAAGGTAACCAAAGTAGATTAGGTTAGAATTTTGGTAGATTACTGCTAGTGAGGGGGGCCCATAGCCTAGTGGGTAGTGTAGCTGCACGCTAAGCGTTGGGTCGTGGGTTAGAACCCCACTCATGGCAATCATGACCTCCAAAAATTTTCGGCTTCATTATGCTTAGTGGTCTCTTTTCCGATGCTACTAAACATGTGAGGTCGAAAAACCGTATTCCCAGATATCGACAGGTGGCAGCCCCACCTCTGGGATAGGTTTCACCTGGCTAATCACCGGATCAACTGAAAAACAACTGATTAACGAAACTAATACAAGAAGAGAAGAAACCAACCACCCCCCCCAACCCGTTGACGACCATTCGCATATCAAAACGGACACGAATTGGACAATGGAACGTGAGGACTTTAATGGAACCAACCAGACTGGCGCAGTTTGAAGGAGAAATGGAGAAAATGCAGATCGCAATCGCAGGCATCAGTGAGATGAGATGGAGAGGCAACGGGACAACAACAACATCAAGCGGCAATCTAGTGATGCACAGCGGGACCAATGATGGAGGCAGGAGCGGAGTCGGGATATATGTGTCCAAACAGTACAAACAGACACTAATTTCCTCCGACAGAATCATCATTGCCAGATTCCGATGCAATGCTAGACTCATCACCATCGTGCAGTGCTATGCCCCAACAGAAGACGCCAGCGATGACATCAAACACGACTTTTACAACGACTTCTAGACGACTCCTCACATCCTCACTCACTAGGATCGAAAGAGGTGACATAAAAATTTTCATGGGAGACTTCAATGCGAAAATCGGCCCCAACAACAACGGATTGGAAACAAACATGGGCCGACATGGTGTTGGCACACGCAGCAATAATGGTGACAGGCTAATCGACTTATGTCAGACCTTCCAACTGGTTATTGGTGGCACTGTATTCCAACACAAGGAAATCCATAAATACACATGGACCTCTCCGAATGGACATACTCGCAACCAAATCGACCACATCTGCATAAGTAGGAAATGGAGACGCTCGATAATGGATGTTAGAAATAGGAGAAGTGCGTCTATCGACAGTGACCACGAGCTGATAATCGGAGAGCTTTTAATCAAGCTCAGACGAAATAGCAACACTGTCAACAGGACCACAAGAAGACCGCCTCCCATTAACGTAAAACGGCTGAATGACTCCAACCTATCCACCAGAATGGCCACAACGTTGCCTGAACAGATGACAACGCAACCATTGAATCACTCATGGGAACAAACATGCAGTATACTGAGGAGCACCGCGGAGGAGATGCTTGGCACCCGACAACGCAGGCGCACGGATTGGATATCAGCGCACACTTGGGAACTTATCAGCAAACGGAACAGCCTAAAGTCGAAAGCAGATCATGACTGCGAGCTCGCGAGATGGTGAAGAAGTCAGCAAGAAACGACAAAAGAAAATTTCTGGACAGGCTCGCTGAAAATGCAGAAAGCGCAGCCAACTCGAACAACATGCGCTCACTGTACCAGATAATTAGTCAACTGACCGGAAGCTGCCATAGGCGAACCCAACCAGTGCGGGACCCAGATGGAAGACTCCTTACTGATGATGAGGCACAACTCCAGAGATGGCGACCAGCTGCACAGAACAACCGAGCAGCACGCAAGATAACTTCAGGAGTATTGTACCAAGCAATAACCTCAGAATATCACCCACGGCACCATCAATTAGAGAAATAAAGGATGCGATCAGGAAATTAAAACGCAACAAAGCGGCTGGAGATGACGGCATACCGGCCGAACTTCTCCAGATTAACACGCAACTAATGGCCGAAACACTGCATCCACATTTCAATAATATATGGGAAAGTGAGCGGATCCCAACATCCTGGAAAAAAGGAATCATCATAAAGCTACCGAAGAAAGGAGACCTCAGTGACTGCAACAACTGGCGAGGCATTACCCTGTTGAACACAAGTTACTAGCCACTCTACTAAACGAACGTCTTCAGGAAAAAATAGAGCCAACAATACGAGATGAACAAGGAGGTTTCAGACCACACAGGAGCTGCGTAGACCAGGCAAACACACTTCGCGCAATAACCGAACAAACTGTGGAATGGCGCTCGCCGCTGTACCTCCTTTTCATAGATTTCCAGAAGGCATTCGATTCGGTAGACAGAGCAGCGATATGGAGGGCACTTGCCCTCCCTAAGAAAGGGAGTGCCAGTGAAAATCATAAATATAGTGAAAGCTATGTATGATGATGCTGAGCTGGCGGTACTGCACAACGGGAAAATTAGTGCACCCTTCCGGACGAACACAGGCGTAAAGCAAGGATGTCCTCTATCACCAGTTCGACGAAATTATGAGAGAAGTATGCATGAACAGACGCGGAATCACCTGAAACTTCACCCGACATCTTGAAGACTTGGATAACGCGGATGACCTATGTCTCTTGGCTCACAAATTTGTGACATTCAAGACATTCAAGCCAAAGCTAGGGACCTCGAGATCCGAGCCAGCGCAGTAGGCTTAAAGATCAACGCATCAAAAACGAAAGCTATGCGGATCGACAACTCCAACACAAACAACATCACAATCGGAGATAATACCCTCGAATTCGTCGACAGCTTCACCTACCTCGGTACTATCATAACATCAAATGGTGGAGTGGAAAGTGTTGTGGAGAACCGACTGCGCAAAGCGAGGTCTGCATTTGGAAGACTACACCGAGTATGGAGAAAGCAGCAGATAAACAGAAAAACAAAGCTGCGCATATTCAACTCGTGTGTAAAATCCATACTGCTATACGGATTGGAGACGTGGCTAACCACTCAAAGGATATTTATGAAGCTGCAGGCTTACATCAATAAGTGCCTAAGAATAATACTTGGGGTATTCTGGCCAGATAGAATATCCAATGAGGACTTATGGCACTGCACAGGAGAGGTCCCAATCCAGGAACAAATAAAGAAACGGAAATGGAAATGGATTGGCCACGCTCTGAGGAAGGAACCAGGAAGCATCGTAAGGATGGCTCTGGAATGGAACCCACAAGGAAGCAGAAGAGTGGGTCGCCCAAAGATGACCTGGCGCCGTACAGCACTCCTAGAAATATCCCGGAAGAACATCAGCTGGGACACAATAAAGCAAACAGCGGCAAATAAAGTTACGTGGAGAGCCCTTGTAGAGGCCCTAAGCTCCCGAGAGGAGTAATAAGGCAAAAAAAAAAAAAATATATATATATGTATATATATATAAGAAAAACAAGAAAGGAATGCTAACTTCGGGCGGAGCCGAAGTTGATATACCCTTGCAGTTAAAACCGGATATATATCGCAAACATCGGATATAG